TTCCTTCCTTCCTTCCTTCCTTCCTTCCTTCCTTCCTTCCTTCCTTCGAGACAGGATTTCTCTGTGTATCCCTGGATATCCTGGAACTCACTCTGTAAACCAAGCTGGTCTTAACTCAGAAATCCACCTGCCTCTGTCTCCTGAGCGCTGGAATTAAAGGTGTGCACCGCCATGTCTATCTGCTCCCTGCTTTCTTATCTCACAAGATCTGAGGAGCCTTCACCTCAGGCCCCTTCAACAATAACCTCCCCCATGCCTTTTCTGCTGTGAGGGACTGAAACTATGAGCCAAATAACCCTTTCCTTCTGCCAGGTATGTTATGATGGCAGCAAGGTCCGTAACTAATGGATTTATCCTATCATCTCTGGAAGACTACATGTGACTCTGGTGCCAGGTTTCTGTCTGAACTCTAAGGGAGAATGTGATGGAAACAATCTCAAGTCTCCTGCTGTGAATGCTTTAGGAGAGGGTCCTGAATGGGTGAGGGTAAGTACAGAGAGGGACCTGTGGACTCCAGTGGTCCACTGAGCTTCAGAGCTGTTTGTTGGCATGTTTTGGTATTGTCCTGTTTTCCCTGAGTCCAGGTGTTTTTGTTTGTTTGTTTTTAAATACTTTATACTCCCAGGAAAGCCATTTGGTAAAGACTGAAATTAATTTGATATTACTGAGGGTCTGGGCAGAAATAGATTATAGGAAAAGTAGTGGTACAGTTTGTAAAGATGCTTCAGAGAAATTAAAAAATATAGGACTCAGCTGGGCAATGGTGGCATGCACAGTGAATCACAGCACTTGAGAGACAGAGGCAGCAGGTCTCTGAGTTCAAGGCTAGCCTGGTCAGCAAAGCAAGGTCCAGGACAGTCAGGGTCACACAGAGAAACCCTGTCTCTAAAAAACAGAAAAAGAAAGAAAGAAAAAAAAACAAAGAAAGAGAGAAAGAAAGAGAGACAGAAAGAAGAAAGAAAGAAAGAAAGAAAGAAAGGAAGAAAGAAAGAAGAAAGAAAGAAAAAAAGAAAGAAAGAAAGAAAGAAAGAAAGAAAGAAAGAAAGAAAGAAAGGAAGAAAGAAAGAAAGAAAAGAAAGAAAGAAAAAGTCTGGATCTTGTGGGCTGGGCTGTTGACACAGACAACCTGGATTAAAATAGAAGCTTCTGTTGCTCAAAGCGGACTGCCACCCTGGGCCATTTCCCAACGTTGAGGAGTGGAAAAATTAAGGCATGCCACTGACACAGCAGACCAAAAGTTCTCAACAGAAGATCATCTGCCAACCAACTTGGGAGTCAGAGCCATGCGAAAGGTGGCAGGAGCTGGGTGTGAGTCATTCTACCCTGAGCCAGCAGGGTGAGGGAGTGGGGGATGGGGGTGGGGAAAACTGCTGGCTGGCTGCTCTGCCCCAGAAGCACTCCCTGCTAGCCCCACTCTCAGGCCTGCTCTCTGCAGAGCTCCACTTTCAGCACGAAGGGGCTATCTACAGCTCCAGGTTACAGCAATGAGGACTGGGATACACCTGGAGGCTGGGTTTCCCTCTCTAGGTTTTTGTTATCCCTTGGGACATCAGCATCTTCATGTGGTAAACAGTGCTCGGGGAGGGGCCAGCATTTGGTCTCTTCCCCACAAGATGCTATGGGCCAGCAGGTGCCCCACCCCTCAGGACACAGCCACACACTGACCACACCTCTCACCTCTGCAAGCCTGTGACAGTGTCACTATGATCCCTTCAGGCCTCCTGCCCTTCCCTGCCCAACCCTGCCCAATCTTTGACCTTTTTCTCCAATGCAGACCACACTAGTCCTGTGCTTTCCATCCATCTCTACAGGCCCCCAAACTGACCCAAATTTGTCACATGGGTGAGATACATAAGTAGGCTAGTTTTGTTTTTTTTTTTTTTTTAATTCTGGCAATTAAAATAGTAGGACAACTGGTTATTTCCCAATAAATTGATGGGCCAGCTCTCTTGAATTGAGCAACAACTTATTGGGTTGTAGGTTGGAATATGTATATGGTTCTCCTCTTCGAGTCTCTGTGTATTTTAGTATGTGTTTATTACTAAAAATAAATCACATACGTAAAAATAAAACCAAGAAACAGGAGATGGACCGTGAACACTGTAGGACACACAGGAGACAGGAAAAGCCAGCAATACCACTTTGATTTGCTGATCGTTCACATTCTACATTATTTGAGAAATCTGTAAACTCACCCCCTATTTATCTCCAGCTGAAGGAAATCCACTGGGGGAAGTCACACGGCTAAGTTTCAAGCCTGCATGTGGCCAGGCAAAGGGCTCTCTGGCTGGGCCGTGCCTCCTTCTCCTTCTACATTGACAAAGCCACAAGAAAATGCAATGACACTTACGGTAATTTTCCCCTGTGATGTACACCTTTAATCCTATCACTTGGAAGCCTGAGAGGCAAGGAACTGAACATTTGAGGCCAGCCTGAGCTACACTGAGGGAGATCTTGTCTAAGTGTGTGTGTGCGCGTGCGCACGCTAGCACACATGTCTGAGTATAAATGAATGCATAACTCCTATTTTAGTATCCTGGTAGGTTTGGTTCCTGTGTATAAAATGGTATGGTGCTGACCTGCAACCTCCACACATGCCCTGTCTACTTCAAATCATCTCTACATTGCAGACAATTCTACACAGTGCATATTCTCTGGCAATCATCACCCTGGCTGGTTTAAGCAACACAGGGAGAGGAAAACAGTCTGCATATTCACCTCTGGTGTAAATGTTGTCTGCAAACATCAGCTGGCCCACAGAAGCTCAGATCTGTGCATGTGGCACTGTGGGCACAGGGACCAACCATGGTACTGGTGGATTTGCAAATTGCTTTTCTTGTTAACAGCAGCTGGCTGGAGAAGCTGGCCACAAGCAGAACATATGAGCCACAGAGAACCTATACTCTGAACAGGGATTTGGAGCCACTCACTTTGGAATAGGAGCCCCTCCCAACCTCCCTCTCTCCCAATACTAAGCCATCTTTTTCCTTCTTGATGAAGCCACTGGCCAACGACTTCTTCTCAGTGAGAACAACTCATATGGCTTCTGACAAGTTCCCATCCATGGTTCCTTGAGCTTTAAGTAATCGCAAATTTCCCTGCTGTGTGGAGGTATCCCATTTTGGGTGCCTACACCGAGCACACTTTTTTTCCCTGCCCAGAGGACCCTGCATCCCTTGAGGCCCCAGCTATC